AATCCTGAATATATAATTGGTTAAACCAAAAAAAAGGAACTACAATGGAGACTATAGGTATGTCTTTTATTCTATATGATATCTCCATGCATGGCAAAGGTGAAGACTGATGACGACGAGGCGTTCGCCATGTGCCGCGCGATTGTTCGTAGCTCGCCGGCACTTTCAGAGCTGGGATACGAATCTAGAGCCTCCGAAAGTTCCGTCTGAGCATTCTGAGCACTACCATAAACTGACATCGAACTGATGGTTTATACGTATTTACACTGTTCTCCATTTTCCTGCCGAGTTAGTCACCATTCTAGAATTGGCTGAGTTCTGTTGGTCTCGAAGGACATGAAGGCTTGCTGATCGGTGGCAGCTGTGGCTCCACGGTGGCTGGAGCCTACCGTTTCATCAAGCAGAACAAGCTTGGCAAGGCAAAACATGGAGTTTGTTCATGTCAGCCACGACAGGTTGCTCCAAAACTGTTGGCTCTTGAGGACAAGCGCTGCGCTGTGCTGCTTGCGGACTCTTCCCGAAACTACATGAGTCGCCCAGCATTTGTTAGAACAAGTGCGAATCGAATTATTCGTTTCTGCGACTCCTGCGATGGATGTGCATGTGCCGCACATCGCTTGCTGCTGTTGTTCATGGGCCACATCGGCCCCAGCATGGCGACCGCAAGTTCTCTTCGAGTAATGATCTCGGCAGTTCCCCGCAGTACTAGTAGCAAGCTCAGATGCAGATCCAAATTTGCAGCTTGCACATTCATGCAGCTGCCCAGGCAAGTTCATGGATGATGGATCCCTGGCATCGGTCCGATTGGGGGTTTCTGAAAGAGGATGTTCCTATTTCTGTTTGTAGGTTTCCATAGCCAGAACTCGATTCATGTGTGCAGCATATTCAGGCCATTCTTGTCGGAAGCTCCCAAAGTCGTAGGCCTGCTTCGATCTGCAAAGCCTGGCCTCTTTGGCCCTCTTCCGAAGCTGAGGATGGATGGAATCCAACGGCTTCAGCATGAGCAAGATGCCACTTGCAAGCAGTACATAGCAGTACCACAGAAGCCTAAATAATTACCTAAACTATTTTGGGGTTCCTTCTTACAATTATAGTATTAAGGCCCCTACATTACCAGGATGAGACTTTGGGATGCCTTGGGCTTCTTGAGGCTGCTAGGATCTGTGCCTTCAAGGGCCCAAAGCAAGTCAACACCGATCAAGGAATGCGGCCGTGTTCGAGAAGGGTCAGTACGACAAGCTCTTCCACATCTAAGCTCTGGGTTGCTTGCCGCATCTTGCCGTGGCTGTGAGTGCGGTTCCGCGTGGCAGCTTTGCCCCCCGCGCCAGTTAAATCTCTCGACAGCAACATCATCCTTCAGCATCAGGTTCGGCGCAGCCAGCGACGCAGCGGAAGCCTACACTGCGCTGGAAATTTTTCCCCACTCCAGAATGTCCGGTCTCTTTCAGCTTGTGCTTTGCGGCAAGCATATACTGAACACTCAAAAGACCTTCAGAAGGCAAGGTTGTCAGTGAAGCAGTTTCGTGATGAAGAACCGGCTGCCGCAATGGCATTGAGAGCAGTGGTCTCGGCACCGCAGCTCTAAATCTTACTTTCAAGCACTCTAGGTGTTTGCAATCCTCCATGGCCGTAGTGCCTGCAGTTTTGATGTTTGGGCTTCTGAGCTCAACGCCCGTCGGGGCTTACCCCACAAGAAAGCTTAAAGCATCCGATCGCACGCATGAGGAACTGGCATGCAAGCTCAGTCTGCACAATCGTCTAAGTCGACAGTTTTGGAGCTTCCTAACCATCGGCGAGAAAAGCTTCAGCTTTCGGGCTCTGATTCGTCGCCTTTTAGCTGACTCGATCTTTGCTTCGTCTTTGAAGAATCCCGTTGCACTGTCCAGGTCTTGCAGCAGTACAACTCCTTGCCGCAGGAGCCCGTGCTTGACGTAGCGATGGGCCGAGCATGCCCAGCGTGAGCCAGTAGCAGGAGGGCCTACACGATATTTTGTAGCTGCGGGTCACGATGTGCATGTGTTAAATTGGTATATAATGTATACTGGCAAAGCTGAGTGTGCTATTGGTACTGGAAGGCAGAGTACCCAGAGACTCCAATATCCCTTAATTAAGGAATATACCTTAAAATATAGTAGGATCCCTAATATGATTTCAGGTATATTCCTTAATTAAGGGATATTGGAGTCTCTGGGTAGAGAGTAATGCATGCAGCTCCTGTGCTCGCGCGGCTGACCAGGAGAAACGAGGCCACCTGCTGGCTACCTTGGAGAAGTTCTTGGAGGACGATGCTTCCTGCTAGGTTTGGTGACTGTATGCTTGAGGTCATAAACTCAGCATAATCTCAGCGAGTCTTTCTGGGAATGCAGGACGCATATCGCGACCTCTTAGCTGACTTCGGGCCACATGGTGGACGTGCGCACAGAGGCTGGCAGTTACGAAGTCAAACCTCAGAGCACAGGACATTCGAACCGCCATAGTATAGGATAGTAGTTTAGAGTTCAGTATAGTATATAGAATGGGATAGTAAATTATAGTATAGTATACTAAAGTAAGGTACCGCTTCTTTCCGAAAGATGAATCGTCACATGATGAGCGCAAGCAGGCCCCCCGGTGTCAGCCGGGCCTGTCGGGGCCCAAAGAGGAATTCAAGCGGTTGGGCGTTTGGAGTTTTGGCATCAAGGCTGTCGGTGGATTTGTGTGGCCTTCACGGCTTGTAGTTTCTGTGAATCAGTGAACTCCGGTCTTTGAGACCCAGCGAAAGGCTTGTGCGCATGCATGGGCACGCTCTCGCCCTGCGTCTCTCTGTCCAATCGTCTCACCTTCCCGGTCACTCCCCGAGGGCAGTACAACCTGTCCTTTCTTGCTTTACCGTTCTGGCGCAGTGCCTTCCTGCATGATCCTGCATGCCTGTTTTCATGAAGCATGATTGCAAGTGGGAGTTTCCGAAAGCAGGGACCCTGATATAGTACCCTAAAGTAGGACCCTTATTTTAAGGACCCCAGAATAAGGTACCTTAATTATCCTTAATTCTCGGAAACTCCCAAGTGCTTGGCAAGACCTTGAATGGTTTAGCCCTACCCACGGGGAGCTGCTGCACCGATGCAGCCCCTGCACACCGCTGGCCGGGTGTGGGGCCTGTTCCAGAGCGCCGCTATGCTAAGGCTAGCTGAATGCTAACTGCTACTGCCAGGCTGAAGGCTATACGATCAGACTTCCCTTCAGGCCAACGTGCCCAGGTGCAGGGCATATGACAGCAGGACGATGCGCTAATGTGCCTGCTGGGGGAATGGTCACTGATCGATTGGTGGTAGCATCAGACCGATGCAGGGGAGGCCTTGCAAAACTCCGAATGCATCGTCTCCGCTTCTGCAGGTCTGCGAGCCTATGAAGCCCTGAACACCACATGTCACAGCACGATGAATCAAACGGCTGTGCAACTACAACCGAGAATGTCAACACAAAGATGGTTTTGGGGAGTCATATAGCACGCATGGTAATGTAGGGCAGGGTCGATCACGTGTGGAACACTATGGTGCGGCACGGGAGGGAGGGGGGGGCAGTATGGTATGCTAATACATGGCCTTGCCTGGCTTGGGCTTTCACAGCATGGCGTTGCATGATGGTTTTGTGACGTGTTTCCTTCATGTTCCATCGCTGTAGTGTGCACAGGCCGTTCTGCAATGGTCGCTTAAGTTGTCTTGTACGTATCACCGGAATACCCTCTTCCCCAAGCCGGGTTCATTCCTCCCAACACCCAAATCCTAAACCTAAACCGAAACCCTAAACCGCCCATGAAGTCACACAGTCTAGTTACTCAAGGCTCCGGAGATGATCCTGACGAGGCACTTAATTCGGACCTTAAGAAGGCAGTTTCTCTACACATATTCAATAGCTGCTCGTGTGATCCCGGGGCACGTGGCTCGAGAGAAGCAGTTGAAGGCATGCAAAGACCTTCAACCGAGTGGAAGGGAGCCTTCATGAGGCTTATACCCCCCTACTTGGAGGATCATGGGACTTAGAAAGTAAGGTTATAAGTACCCTAACTGGGGTTATAATTATAGTTACCGTATTTATAACCCTAGTTACTAAGTCCCATGATCCTCCAAGTAAGCCCTTTCTTATTCTTTCTCCATGGAAGGGGAAGTTGAAAGGAGTCTGGGACAAACCCTAGGCTCTGAGCCCTTTGACCCCCAAATCCCTAAAACACCCAAGAGACTTAACCCCCGAAGCCCTAAAACCCTAAACCCTAAAACCCTAAACCCTAAACCCTAAAACCCTAAACCCTAAACCCTAAACCCTAAACCCCTGAGGTCCAAAGTGATGGGCCGAAATCGCTTCGTTCTCGCATCCGCTGCAGCCTCAGAGAGAGCCTCCCAAGGGTTTAGGGTTTAGGGTTTAGGGTTTAGGGCCCTCCCAGCAATCCCGGAGGGCTCTTGGGAGGGTTTAAACTAGGAGCTACAAGGCCTGAGGTGTGGGGCTCATTAGACCTTTCATCGTTTTTGGGTTGGATGTTTAGGGTTTCTAGGTGTTAGAATTTAGGGTTCAGGTTTCTTACGTGGGGTAATTACTGGTCTAAGGTTTACTCGTACAGGGCAACACCGGAGTAAGTTTTTTCGCAGAGTGTGTACGACTTCGGGGTATAGTTTACGGCTGTGACGTGAGGCTTAGCGGTGGGCCTTGGTTTTTGTTCTGGTATGGGGGCTTGAGGGTTTCATGAGCCCCTGACAAACAGCAAAAGCAGCGACACTATGCAACAGTACGATCATGCTGCAGGGAGTGGTAAGGGCCATTGTGGAAGCAGCTGTCAGAGAGCAGAGAGCCTTTCATGCCATGAAGGATGTAGGAACACATGAAGAGCTACGTTTGCCAGGGCAGTGCCGGCGCGGATCCCCGGGGCCTCAAATTCAGACAGCCGAGAGCTTATTGACCCGGTGGGTTGCGCCGGGTCTTGCGGCTGCGGACCTAGGATTTGTGCTATTTTGGTGAAGCTCCTCCTTGAGTCATTGAGGGTCAAAGAGCACCAGAAGTCTGTGAGTGTAGCCATTAAGATAAGGAGTAAATTCCGCAGTTTCTCTTCTTTGAAGGCGGGGCCCGCTTTGTGGCGAGGTCTTCCGGCACCTGGCGAGGACCTCTGGGTTTGGGAAACGGCGATTAGGGTTTAGGGTTTAAAAGGTATAGGGTCTGTAGCGGCTATAGCGATCCAGAAGCATGTCCGACGTGAGGAGCATGAGCGCGTGGATCCACTTCAGGCATGGCAGCCGTTTGCAAACTGCATGCTGATGCCATCCTCCCTCGTAATGTAGGACCTAAATAATATTGACTATACTATTTGGGGGGGGTTTCCTTATTATACCTATGATATAATTCTGATATAATGGACCCCAAAACCCTAAACCCTAAACCCTAAACCCTATTCTAAATATTCAAGCCCCTTTTGCAGTCCTCCGCTAGTAGCACCAGTCTTGGATGGCTTTCCTGGGCAGGCCAAGGCCAGCTCAAGATCTGAGAAGACAGGACTATAATTTAGAATAATGTATTAGAATAAACTATAATATACGATAATGTACTTTAATGTAGTCAAAAATATACCAGGCGAGAATGTATTATAATAATCGAAAGTATACTATGATGGAACATCTGAGAAGACTTGAGATTCAGTGCAGGAGGAATCACAGGAATCGAGGCTGCCTCTCGACCTTGTTGTTCAGGGTTTAGCGTTTAGGGTCATGCTTATTGCTTCCTCATTTCATCTCAGCTTTCGGGCTTACGCAGCCCGCTAGTGCAAGCGGCCACCCCTGGCTGTCCTTATCTTTGGACACTCTACATAAGGTGCACGTATAGCAATTTCCTCATGAGTTGTGATGAGAGTGGGTCGCGCCAGGTGCTGCTGAGCTTCTCCGTCGGCTGGCGCTTGGTCCACACGGAGCTGCTCCAGGTGACGATACTGGGGAAAATCGGAAGCCTTAAAAACCCAAAGGGCCCAAAAAGTGCAGAAGCATCCTAAATCCTAAAGCCAAGGAACCGGAAACTTAAACCCGGGAGAACCAGATTCGGAACTCTGAATCTTTTCCCCCTACCAAGAATCCTACGTGCAGTAGCCCTACGGTTTAGGTTTTAGGGTTTTGGGGTGTGGAGTACCTCAGCCCTACAGACATCAAAGCCTTCAGAGCCATGGAAATCAGCCCAGAAAAGCAGGCCTGAACCCTAAACTCCTAAACATTCCTAAACCATCTAAACCCTCAGCACTAAACTCTAACTGAACCCTAGGACCCTATCCAAGCCTACGGCCAGGTCTTGCAAGTCCTCTCCTCAGCTTGACGGATTTCTCGACTTGGCACGGTTCAGGCTTTGGGGTTTAGGGCTTCAGGAGCCTGGGGCTTCATCAAGAGACTAAGGGAGGGACCCTCAAAGGGACCCTTGGGGATTTTGGGCTTTATGAGACTATATATAAGGGGTATATAGGTATGAATTGTCCCTTAACTTCAGGGCTGAAAGGTTCATGGCTTTAGGCTTTAAGGGTTCTACGATGATGGGTCTTCAGGGGGACAAAGGCAGGTTGACCCTCGGAAGAAGCTGAGGACAAGCACCTCCCGTCGTTTGGGCGGCAGAAGCGAGGACACGCCATCTTCGAAGAGCAGAAGGACGGCTGAGAATCACCCCTGCTCGCAGTAACCCTGTCTTATGGCAAGAAGTATTTATCCAAAAACAGATTGCCTTTGGAAGTGCAGACGTCTTTAGGTTTGGGGTTTCGGGTTGGGGTTCAGCATATCAATCACCGACCCAAGTTCACTTCCGTCGAGAGAAGCGAGGGTGTGTGGCCACCGCGCCCTCCGAGCACGGCAGCTAAGAGCATGGATACAGGATGGATTTCAAAGGGGAATAGGCACGGAATGCAACAAGCCTCTCACGGTTTGTGGTGTCGGGAGTAAATGGCAAGAAGGTTCCCGACGCGATTGTAGGATGACCGCTCAACACCCCAACTGAGGAAGTAGGGGTATGAATAGGGTAACTACAACTACACTTCTAACCAGTTGTAGCCCACTTTTAACCTTTTCTTCGTATCACAACCTACTTGCATCCAATAGCATGACCTTCAGACTGACTTGCGAGATTTGGCAGTTCAGTTGCACGGTGTGTTGCTCAAAGGAAAGTGGTCGTCTCCGCCTCTCACGAGTAGCAAACAGAGCGCCTTGAGACGATGCCGAACCACGGTGGCCGACGCCGCCGCAGCGAGTGACAGCAGTGGGCGCAAGCAGGTGCCGGCAGGCCTCCGCGAAATGCACTTAACAAAAACGTGTTTGTGTGTGTGTGTGTGTGTTCATATATATATATATATATATGTGGTCTGTATTTGCGGAGAACTTAGTTATATATATATATATACATACACATATACGCACATAACTACTGTATGTCTGTATGAACGAATGAATGCATGCATGGATGCGTGAGTGAATGAATGACTGAGAGACTGAGTGCATGAATGAATGCATGAAGGAAGGAAGGAATGAATGAATGAATGAGGGATGGAATGGAATGCAATGAAATGAAATGAAGTGAAATGAAAGACAAAAAGAAAGAATGAATGAATGATGGGTTGATTTGATCAATGCATAAGTGAGTGAGTGAGTGAATGAGTGAACACATGGCAGGAAATGGAGTGAATGAACGGATGAATGATTCAATGAATGAATGAATGGATGGCATGAGAAATTGAATGGAATGGAATGGAATCGCATGGAAGGGAATGGCGAGGATTGTAATGGAATGAAATGGCAAGAGACATAATGAAATAATGTGCAGTGTGTGTATATATATACACATGAACTACAAATATATAACTAAATATGTGTGTAATATGTATATGTGTTTCATCTTCATGTAATTCTTGTACTTATGTAAGTATATGCAAGTGTAAGTAGGAGTAGAAGCAAAAGTAGAAGTACTTAGGTACGTGTAACAAGTAAGTAAAGTAAGTAATAAGCCATATGTAAATAAGTAGAAAAGTAAATCTGTATGCATGTATGCACGTATTCATGTATGCATGTAGACTCATATGCATGAATGTAAACACATACGCATGGATACATGCCTGCATGCATGGCTGTTTGACTGTCTGTCCGTCTGTCTGTCTGTCTGTCTGTCTGTCTGTTTGTGTGGGTTTGTGTTTGTTTGTTTGTTCGTTTGTTTGCTTGCTTGTTTTGTATGTATATGCACATACATACCTACCTGACCTACCTACGTACATACAAACAAACAGATAGACATACATGCATACACACACACACACATATATATATATATATACCTATGTATCATACATACTCAGGTTTCTAGGCTTCAGTTCCATGGAAATGAGATGCCGTCCATCCTCGGTTGCTCTATCCTCTGCTTTCTGTGCCCAACGTCAACGCACCACCACTTGGCAAGACTCCAATGTCAAGTACGGCCAGGATCTTCAGAAGCACCACATCACGGGGGAGGCGTTCTACAACAGTGCCTTTAGAGTCCAGGTTCCCGTCATGAGTGGAATGACCTTTAACTCTAACCCGATGATGTTCAAGGAGGATGGCATCGGTTGGGGAGGCTTCCGCCAAAGACAGCTCCTCCTCGGTCACCTGCGCCCATCAGCAATGATGTGCAACGCTTCGTGGAGAACATGTTTCACCTGTGGTGCATGTCATGCACCGCAGGTGAAACATGTTCTCCATGACGCCCACGTGCACATGCTCCTCTGGACGCGAGAAAGAGTTCAACCCAGCCTTCTCCCCACACAGCTTTCAGCAGACGACGTGGAGCACCTGACGGACGACGAAGTTGCAGACAGGATCCAGCCACGCACCGTAGAAGACCTCACCGACAAGTTCATCTGCACCACCACCCCCGAACGCTGGAAAAACGTGCACCTGAAGTGCCATCCCGAGAGAGCCGACTACAAGTGCCTCAGCCGTTGCACATCAATGAGCCCTGAGCAGGCCGGATGGATCCTGAGGCGTACAGCCGCATTGCAAGGGCCATTGAAGAGCGGCGAGCTCTTATATGGATATGGAAACCCTTTAGAGGTGGCATTGGTTTGAACAGTAATTCAACGGAGTGGTTTGAAAATACACTGATTCCCGGAACCTTCCGCCCGAACGGGCTGTCGAACGGAGCTACATGCAAGCCTGCCAGAAGTTTGGCATGCTCTTCGCATAACCTGGAACCTCACATCGAGTGCGGTCTGCGCTGCAAATACCTGTGCTGCTTTCCGTCTTGCTTAGGTGTTGCTCTAGGTCCGCCCAGGGATAGCGCATGAGGGAAATAGCGAAGGTTTGGGTTCGGGTTTTGGGTTTCGCATCCCCCTTCTCGTCCCAGTCCAACCTCAGTAAATTTTGCCGCGAAATCTTATTCGAATCACTAAAGCCCCTCCATTATGCCGCAACCCGGCGCCTCTGGTCGAGTTGTCTGCGAGTCCAAACCCTGTGCTGCATTCCTGTGTGCTCAGGTGTTGCTAGGCTACTTAAACGATCATGGGACTTAGTAGCTAGGGTTATACTTATAACCCCAATTAGAGTCGAAGCCCAGGGCTTCGGGCTGTAGGGCGGTTCAGCCTCTTAGCGATCATCCTTGAACTCGACACCCTGAACCCCGAAATCATGAACCGTAAACTGCAAACCCCAAAAGGGTTTAGGGTTTAGGGTCTATGTAGGGTTCAGGATTTAAGCCGGAACAGCTACAACCCTGAAGCTCCATGATGCCTGACCTGTCCAGGAGCTTGCCTCGCACCACTGGCGGACGGGATTGTTGGGACTGCACGGCGGCTTCGCCACTTGCCGAAGGCACCCTGCCCTTCTGAGAAGGAGGGCTTTATACGCGAATTCTGGGAGGAATAATGCAAGGAGGATAGGTCATCATCATAATACCCAACATGATTACGAGGGAGCAAGATGCTAGAGATTCGAAGAGGGAATGTCCTGCACGGGATGTAGCAAGCTGAGGGATCATCTCACTACCCGGGACCTGGGTCGAGGCCTGCACACACACCAGTGAAGCTTGTCACGTGATCGTGGCAAAAGGCTATCAGGCAGCACACCAGCACCAGTTTTGAGTTGTAGTTTCATAAATTGCACAGGCGAGCCGGCGAGCCGGGCAATGTCGTCGCAGCACTGCAACTATATCTGTAATAACTGCACAGAATCTCCGTTTTAGCATTCTGCGAGGCTGCCGTGCGGTGCAAGAAGTTCGGGCAAGATCTTTTGCATGCACAAAGCGCCCAGTGTTGATTTTTCCGCGTGAGGCTCAGCTTGGGCCTTCCGCCTGCAGACACTTCCTTTGTTGTTGACAATCTCACCGTCGGCCAAGGACATGAGTGTGTTCTACGCAGAAGAGGCCGGGGATGGTGCGAGGCAGTTTGAATTCCCAAGCCCAAGTATCCTGAAGCCCCCAGCTCCAAGCCCTCGGACCTTGTTTCAGTATTACCCATGCCAGAGCCGATTCCCTGCTGGCAGGGAGCCGTTTGCTCTGCCCTGAGCTGAGCATGATTCTGCATGCCATGAGCTCCCCTCCAAGTCCCAGTCCCCGAACCCTTTGAACCCTACACCCTACACCCTATAAGCCCTCAACCCCGAGATCCCCCCCTAACCCCAAACAGCGCCCAAGTCTGCAAGTTGAGGCTACGCTGATGTCGGAGCCGGCCTTGTCCCCTGCAGGGTAGCTTGGACCTGAAGCCATAGCTATTTCTGGAGCACTGGTCACGGTTGGGTTCCCATTTTTCCAAGATTGCTAGTAAGGTTTGTCTTATTCCACCATCCGCATGACTGTGTGTAGCGTCTGAGTAAACATCTTCTTCCTTCTGCTGTTCCCTCCCAATGAGTGCTACTACGACGACTCTCGCCCCGATGATGCAGATGATGATGATAATGACGATGATGATGCTGATGATGATGATGCTGATGATGATGATGATGATGATGCTGATGATAATGATGATGATGATGATGATGATGATGATGATGATGAGGATGATGATGGTGATGGTTATGAAATAAGTGGTGTGTTGTTAGTTCTTCCGACAGTGGAATGGTGTCGAATTCCCAGTTACGAAGGTCGCAGTTTTTGCGATTTTCCCACTGCCGCTGTGGCCCACAAGGCATGTGATGCAAGTGGCCCGTGACGGGCAAGGCAATCTGCTGCGGCTGATGTTTCACGGTCCCTGCCACAGTGCTCGGCAGTGCTTTGTTCTGCAACGGTTTTTTTCTGATCGCACTGCAGCTGCAAGAATTTGTGAATCCATCGCAGCCAAGGGCAGCTGCCCATGCACGGGGAAGCTAATGATATGCTGGCGGAGTTGGCGCGGGTAAGAGCCTTGGGGAGCAACTCGCAACGCCTCGCGACGGCATCGCAGCACTTCGGCGTGCCTTGCGTCTGAGGCCAAGTTCTCAAGAGGGACGAAAGTCAGCATCATGGAGCCTCTGCTCCAGGCCCGTCGCGTTCACGCAGCTTCGTCTACTATTCTCGACAACGCTCAGCGTTTTCTGACTCTAAAAAGTCCCCTCAATGCCTAAGCTTAAGCCCGAACCCTATAAAACTCCCCCCAAGCCCCGAGCCCTCAACCCCTTCACAGCAGCTCTCCCTCTCGAGCTCTGAGCGCCAGATCAGCCCAGAGGGGCTCCTGGGCATCGAGATCGGCCCCGGGGAGGCCAGCAGAGCCCTGCAATCGCTGTGGCGTGGTCTGGTTTCCAATGCAGGAGACTTACAGATACTTACAGGAATCAAATAGAATCAAATAGAATTCCAGAAAGCATTGGAGTATGCACAGCAGAAATGGGCATTTAGCCACGCAGTCACATGTCAATGTGTGTCCAGACCCAGCTATAGCTACATGTTATATTCAGTTATGTTATCCATCCTCGCATCAGGGCGTGGCTTCAGGAGTAGCCTTGCAGCGTCCTTGCCGAAGTGGCATAGACGACGGACCATGAGGTAGCGGTGGGCCCTGGCCTGCTACCGCTACTACCGGTGGAGATGCTTGAATCACTGGGCCTTCGGTGCAAGGCTGGTGGCCAGTAAAGCGTCCTGCATCCAGGAGTGGGGGCCACAGGGCCTGTCATCCGCAGCTTGAGACTTTGCCCGCTTGCAGCAGAAGGGTGGGCCGCTTTGGAATTCTTTGGTATGCAGAGGAGGCGAGCTGATCACTGAATCAAACGCACAAAGTCCTGCGAACCTGTCTTGGGGACCTACCTGCACAAGTTGAGACGGCACGGCTCTGCCGGATGCTGTCAGTCGAAGTGTCACCAGGAAGATGCAACAGCAGCCCAGCGAGCTTCTCCCAAAGGGACTTGCATCTATTGCATGAGACTGGGGAAAGCTTGCCAGACGAAGCATGATCTTGCTGGATACTCTGGCAGGGGTGGCCTGCAGCAAGCTGCAAGGAAAAGACCCAGAGCCTCGACCGCGGGAGCCTGCCGGCCTTGCGCGAGCATCTGCCAGGTCCGGAACTTTCCACCAGCCGCTCGCAGAGGCCATCGCAGCCAGTTCCAGAAAGCTTGAGGGGACTTCGGCACCACGCGACTTGGCAACCTTGGCCTGGGCTTCCACACGCTCGCGGCTCAGAGGCGAGGCCTTTCTTGCAGTTGCCTCGAAGGCGAGGCTCCAAAGCGACCGGTCCCCGATGGACACAGCCAACCTTGCACGGGCGCCCTCTGCTGCCCAGCATGTAGACCAGCAGGCGATGTCAACCACAGTGGAAAGAGTGTCTGCGCGGGCCCAGCGCCTCGACGCGCGGCAACCTGCCAGCATAGCGCAAGCCTGTGCCAGGCAGACCCCATCCGGTGCATCAGAGATGAGATACCTGATGCAGGCCACAGTGAGCCAGATTGATGCTCTGCCGGCACAACAGGTGGGCTGGCTGGCAGATGCCTGCCAACTCCTCGCCTCTCCCCTCTGCTCTGAAAGCTGCGAGGTGATTCGGACGAAGCTTTCGGAGCTCACCCAGCAACTCGCAGAGCCTCTGGCACGGCTCTCCTTGCTCTCCAGCTCCTCTGGGCCCCAGGGCTTCCGAAGGCCCGGGCCCCTGGGGGACTTCGGGGAGATGGCGAAACGGCTGGGCGCCGATCAGCTCGGCGACGTTGGCTCCCGAGAGCTCCTGAGAAGCCAAAACATCGCCGTCACTTCCGGGCCCAAGCCCAAACCGCCGAAGTCTCCTGGCAGGGAGATCTCCGGGACGAAGCTGCCCCCCATCACCGCGCTTCTTCGCGCGACTATGGGAGGGAGGCAGCTCTCGCAGTCCGCCGTGAGTGGAGTCAGCGATGGACTTCGGGCACAGCGGTGGCTCTTTCCAGTGCCACTCGCTGTGGGCTCAGTCGAGCGCAGCCTCTGCGCAGAGTTCCAAGTCTTGGCGCAGACCTGCGATGTGATCTTCGAAGACCTCTCCGACAGCTCGGAAGGACGGAGAGTCTCAGGTAAGGCCCAGCTCTTCATTTCCGCTCCTCCCTGCCTGTCCTGCGTGGCTGCCATCTGCCAGTTTCAGTTGCTTCTTCCCTGCGTGGAGCTGGAAGTCTCGTGGATCTCAGAGTCTCAGATGTTGGAGCAGCCGAGTCGAGTAGCCGACTGCCATTGCATAGATCCGAAGAGCTCTTCGACAAGCGATGCAGGCTCAAAAGAACGACGGCTAGTTACTGGGAATAGCAATTCGGCTGGTGCGATGCCACCTCGGCACCACCCCCGTCTCCATCATCAGCATGCTCTGCATCAGCAGCACCCAGCAGCACCAGCAGTACCATCACTACATATCACCACCGAAACCACAGCAGCAGCAGCAGCAACAACAACATCAACAGACGACAAAGTTGCAACGGCAACATTCGCGTGCCAGCAGCACTACAGTTGCTCCGATCTGTAGCAGTAGCACATCAGAAGAGCAGCTATGACTCAGGCCATGCCGACATGTTCATGGATGTCCTCCTCCTCATCATCATCAGCAGCATCAAGAGCATTATCAGCATCAGCAGCACCATCAGCATCAGCATCATCAGAATCGTCGTCGTCAGCATCATGAGTTTCATATTCTAATTCCTGTTCTCTTAGAGGAAATCCAGCACAGACCTTCCGCAGAAGCTCCCCGTTGCACTTAGAGACTCCAATATCCCTTAATTAAGCCTTAAATCATATTGGGGATCCTACTATAATTGAAGGTATATTCCTTAATTACGGGATATACCCTAAATTATAATAGGATCCCTAATATGATCTAAGGTATATTCCTTAATTAAGGGATATTGGAGTCCCTTTGCAGCCAGGCGCGGCTGTCCGGCCCGGGTCCGGGACTCGCCGATGCTCGAAGTCTCGGCAACAAGGCTGTGACATCTCAGTCGGACGCTTGGATCACCCGCAACTCTTCATGTGTGTGTGTGTGTGTATGTGTGTGAGTGTGAGTGTGTGTGTGTGTGTGTAGGGGCCATCAAGGTGTATGCATAATATGTATGAAGGTGCAGGTTTTTGTGTTTGTTTGGTACTATTCATAGTAGAACATGCTACATGTTGTTACACTCAACAAAGCACGTCTACATGAATGTGATCATAGGCTGTTGTCATGTGCTGGCATGGCTTTGCCGAATCTTGCCATTTGCTGGAAGACGGCGCACGACACAGCGCCGAACAATGTAGCACATACCATTTACCCATCGTTTCCATTCACTATGACAGCTTCACCTCATTTCGTTGTGGCTGTTGCTATGCACTAGCTCCTTTGGTGGCAGGACACCCTGAGCCTTCGATGCTTTGCGTCTCGAGGCTGTATGCCCTCGCCGCCGAGTTCTATTGCCTCGGGCTTCAGAGCCCTGAGACTGAAACTCTTGCATCTCTGCTGCATTGGCACATCATCACCCACACTCTTACTAACACCATCATCACTACCACAACCACCACCATCATCATCATCATCCGGGAACAGCGCCACCACGCCGACAGAGACGTTCAGCCTCTTAAATTCAGAGGGACGCTAAGCCCTTTGTAGACAGATGATATCCTGTCATTCATTCTGTCGTTACTGTGCAGGCTAGATGGTGGCCTACAGTCCTACAGTCGTGCAGATTGCGTACACAGTCGTGACCAGATTGCTGGATGAAGCCGCTGAAGCTATGAGTTCAATGTTGGTACCGACAAGACTCGAGAACAAGTGAACTCAGCTAAATATGCAAATACGAATAACATCGAACAACTACATGCATTTGTTCATGACAAGTGGCAGTTGTTCTAAAGTTCGTTGAGCCATCATGTATATGAAAGGCCAACTTCATAGCCAAATTGAATATGCCTTCGCGAAAGTTCCGCGATGGTAGAGACCACATATGCCCAGGTAGCGATTGTTTCGGCCATCCGTAGCTGCTACGTGCATCATCGTAACCACTACTATGACGAGCATAATGGTCATTGGCATTTTGTCAGAACTCTGACTATACTAGTTTGACACGAGGTTTCTTATGGATCGCTAGGGCTCCAGTTACCTCAACATCGGCTGACTGGGTTACACAATTTATGAATATGGTTAGTAACCTACAATGTGGGTGACTGGAGCCCTAGGGCACATCAACCCCAAGCGACCCACGAATCCTTTGGGCATCTCCAGCCGTGCGGACTCCCCAGGCCACTTTACTTTCGAATCGCTGCCAGGTGGGTGGGCGCTCGCTTTCGGGGGTTGAACATCTAAGGAGCTTGGGATTTACAATGGTTTTGGGTATCTGCCGCGGTACTTATCAGCTTTCAGGTTTTGGTTTTGTAAGTGTTTTGTATCTAGGGCTCTAGACTTGGGATCCGTGCCGCGTCAAGTCCCTCTTTTTGTGACGTGGTATCTCGGAGAGTAGATGTGACTGCAGTACTAGCGATTCGCGATTAGCGTGAACCATGTTCCTTTTGTCACCAACTATAAATGCCGCACCCATCCTCTGCACAATTGCCGCATGATGGATGCTTTCCTTGATGCGCTGCTGCACTCGTCTGCTCAAGCATGTCGTAGTTTGCCACTCCCCCGCCTCCCTTGCAGGGAGTTCTTCATCTCCCCACTCGGCTCATGGCAGCACTCGCACGGACATTGCTGCTCTCCTTTGCGGGAGCCTCAGTCGACGCAAAGGCTTGAGCCCACAGACTCCAATATCCCTTAATTAAGGAATATACCTTAAATCATAATCGGATCCCCAATATTCCCTAATATGATTTAATATTATAAGGTATATTCCTTAATTTAGGGATATTGGAGTCTCTGAGTCCTGGAGCCTTGCCATGGAGCGCCAGGTCCTGATCCAAACTGCTGCGTCCAATCGAGCACAAGCAGGCGGGCTGAAACCTCCAACCTTAGCCGGCCCCACCCGAAGTACTCAGAGACTCCAAAATCCCTTCATTAAGGAACATGCCTTAAATCAGATTAGGGATCCTATTGGGATTTAAAGTATAGTCCTTAATTAAGGGATATTGGAGTCTCTGGGTACACCAGATCCTCAACTCTGCAGCTTGTTGGTAGCTCGTCCACTCATTCAACATCCCCCGTCCCAGAGACTCGAATATCCCTTAATTAAGGAATATACCTTAAATTATAGTAGGATCCCTAATATGATTTAAGGTATATTCTTTAATTAAGGGATAGTGGAGTCTCCGGGGTCATTGTCTTGTGGCGAGGCGCTTCCTCGCAGACCGCATTTCTGGCGCCATCCAGGCGCACCTGAGCAGGGACGAGAGCCATGGTAGTTTTAAGTTGTGGGGTTTAGGGTTTGGGGTTTAGGGTTTAGGGTTTAGGGTTTAGCATGCTTCTGTGCCCAGGGGTTCCGACATTGCCGTGGTTTGTGCGATCTCGGTCTTCCTCCTCATTGCTGTTGTCGGATCCTCAGTAGCAATGCTCCAGATGTCTCGCAGATGGAACGTAAATCCCAAAACCCTAAACCCTAAGCCCTGAACCCCAAGACCCTAAACCCTAAACCCCCAAACCCTAAACCATCCTAACACCCTGCATTCCAAAACCCGAGACCCTAAACCCCTCGAAGCCCTTAGCCAGCTGAGTTCCCAGAGACTCCAGTATCCCTTAATTCAGGAATATACCTGAAGTCATATGGGGGATCCTACGATAATTTAAGGTGTATTCCTTAATTAAGGGATATACCTTAAATTATAATAGGATCCCAAATATGATCTAAGGTATATTCCTTAATTAAGGGATATTGGAGTCTCTGGGCTCCTTCGAGGTCCTTGGGGCTTTGCTCTTCCTTCGCAGAGGCTCGGCAGGCGGGCCCCGGCTGGAGCGGAGAGAGCACTTTGCCGGTGCTGGGAATAATGATTAGGGCTTAGAGTTTAACAAACCCTAAACCCTAAACCCTAAACCCTAAACCCCAAACCTAACGGTTTAAGGGTTTAGGGCTTATTTAGGGTTTAGGGTTTACAGGGCCTTTTTTGGGGTCTTGGGTTCCCTTGAAGTTGTTTTGAAATATGTTGTGAGAGTATTCGGTAATAATATCTTCTTGCCGTCTCCACTGTTGTAGCAACCTAAACCCTAGACCCTAAAACCCTAAACCCTAAACCCTAAACCCTAAATTACTATTACTACACTTCTGGTTCATGGTATACCTGCTTGCAGCCAGGATCCGACACGCACCCTGGCTGGCACTTTAGCCTCTGGTGAACCCAGAGAACCCAATACCCCTTAATTAAGGAAGATATACCTTAAATCAGAATATTAAGGCCCCTATAACTTAAGGTATATTCCTTAATTGAGGAATATACCTTAAGTTATAGGGGCCTTAATATTCTGATTTAAGGTATATATTCCTTAATTAAGGGGTATTGGGTTCTCTGGGAAGCTTTTGGTGCCCATGGGTTGTTATGTGACAAGCCAAGGGAAGCCAAGCGGACAAGTCTGCAGGCCACGAGTTCCGCCGCTCGCTTTCACTCTTCGTTCCGTCAGATCGTTTTAGGAACCCAAAAAGGACATAAGCATAAGCATTTTATAGGGATATCCCTACCTTATTGGGCTTCTTTGGGGCCCTATCGTTGGAAGCTCTGAACGACGATGCATCGCACGGCGAACCATCGACTGTTTCTGTTCCGGTGGAAGCGTGTCGGAGCCAAGGAAATCGACTACGGTGCCCTTGGCAAGGGCCCAGCACCAGCAGAGGCGAGCTTAGGCTTGGTCGCCCCTAAGGAAGCGCCTAAGGAAGAGGTCGAGGCGGAAGAGGCTCCTCTCTTAAAGGAAGAGCTCAGGGAGGAGCCGAGCCCTAGTCGGAGCCCTGTGGATAATTCCAATGACGGACAGCTCTCAGCGCAACAGACGGCCGTCGCCAAGATGGCACAGGACGAGTTCGAGCTCTCTGAGGTCAGATTGATCACGGAGGATCAGCTGCCACCCCCAGACGATCGCATCTATCCACGTCCGAGCTTGATCAAATATAAGTGGGTGCTCTGCACGTGCTTTGAACACGATTGGAAGATACTTCGCTGCCTGGCTGCCATTGGCAGGGTATTTTCGGATGTGTCTTGGTGAACAGTGGATCCACCAGCTGCTTATAGTCTCCATTGTAGTTCCTTTTTTTGGTTTAGCCAATTATACATTCAGGATTTTATAAGGTATCCCCAAAAAGGAACTACCATGGAGACTATAGGTGTAATGATAAATTGCGGGGGGAGTTGCTCGAAAGGTCCCAAGCTACTGCGGAACTTCTTCTCTTCTGAAGAGGAGTGCGAGGCGCGTAATCTCGCTGACCCTGATGACGTACCATCGTGGAGAAAATGCAGTGAGACGCTTCCAGCAGTAGGCGTTAAAGGTACAATCATATGAATGGACAGCTGGGACAGTGCCACTTTTTAGATTTCATGATGGACTTGAGAGTGCTCCAGGTGATGGAGCACGCCCTGTTTCGGAAGTACAGGTGCTCTGGCTTTTGGTTTCCTTAGTGCATTGTTCTCTGTTTGTTCGACTTATCTCTCGAGACAGAACCCTAAACCCGAAACCCCTAAACCCTAAACCCCTAAACCCCTAAACCCTTAAACCCTAAACCCCTAAACCCTAAACCCGAGGTGGGTCATGCCACTCTACCGAAAGCTCTCCTCGGAAGATTGCAACGACAGGGGCTCTGTACCTGAAGACATCAGCGTGCTTCTTGGCAGGGTTTAGCGGTTTAGGGTCAGCGCATCTTAGTGGTGCAGAAAAGTCTATCTACCATCTAGTCTCCCTGTCTCTATGTGTTTTTGGTATCATGCTGCAAAAACATTTAGTGTTCTGACAATTAGATAGGGTCCTAAACACGGAGCCCTAATTTAGAGAACTACTCATATACATTTAGTGTTCTCTCATGCATGCAGGCCTGCATGGGGTCAGAGTCCCAGGTTTGGTGTCAGCAAGCGGTCCGCGGCGAGCCTTCTCGGTCATGAAGGCTGGGCCTTTTTTGATGTGGGATTGTTAGGTCCAGCTTCGGGTTAAGGTTATTAATCATTGTGGCGGCGCATGACATTCTTCAGAAATCCTGAGGATCTCAAAGAAGAGCATGTAGTACGCAACGCTTGAGGAGTTGGAGTTTGGGTGTGTGCTTTTCCATACTCCATACGATGATTGCTTCCCGCATTGATCTCACAAAGCTCTCACACCTCAAACTCCAAGCTATTGCATGTATGTATGCGCTTGTGTACATGCGGAAGGCGAAAGAGCCCAATTCTTTTGGGTGTGTGTAAGACTGCACTCAAGGCTAAATAAGATCTAATAGACATGCTAGCGAGCTGCTGCAGAGGCATTGACATCTTGGACAAGGACTTCGCGCAGGTGCACGGAACCCAGAGACTCCAATATCCCTTAATTAAGGAATATACCTTAAAATATAGTAGGATCCCTAATATGATTTAAGGTATATTCCTTAATTCAGGGATATTGGAGTCTCTGGGAAGTTTTAGATGCCTCGGGCTTTCGGCAGACCCAAAGGTCTCAACACGACATGCCCTAAATGTCCGGCAGCAGAGCGTCCTTTCGTTCCGGTCAGCGTTTATCCCAAAGGCCGTTTTCGCGAATTTCACAACTTGGGTTCAAAACCTGGACATGGAATCTCTTCCGCAGTTGGGGATGGAATGTGTGCAGAAGCGAAGGAGTCCAGAATTTCCGTTACTAGCAGGGCGCATTGAGTCCTTTTTCGCAACCTGCTTTCGTGTCAGTATTGGTATTACCTATAGATAGTCAGCCGGCAATCCGAATCCTCAACCCAAACTGGCCAAGACCAGAGCTTGTGATGAACACTTGGGTTCTTTAGAGTCCATGCGACATGCCAAGAGCCGCGCAGGCCCAAGTTGGCAACATCTACACCCAGAGCAACGTGACCAGGCTGGGCAGGTAGCAGCAGAGGTCCTACTGGGTAACGGTGGTGCAGTGAAAGTGACAGTGGAATGCTATGAGCAGTAACGTGACTGATAGCAGTTTGCAATAAGTACAGCTTTAATTACTAGTTGCTCCCTGTAGGCCCTGGTTGCAAGTTTTGAAATCACTGTAACTCTTTGTTTCCAGGTGTGCCGTCACCACAAAGACTGCCCTCCCATGCAATGAATAGCACTGCTGCCCGACAGGCGACATTTGCGAACAAACAGGATGTAGGCAAGGATCATTCAGCAAGGGCCAGAATCATGTGCTGCAATCACAAGGAGTTGCAGCAACA